TGTAGATTTTATTGACTTGGTTTTGTGGTCAGATGAACCGCTTTTCACAAGGAGTGGAAACTTTAATTCTCATAATGAACCTATTTGGTCGTTAGAAAATCCCCGTTCTGTATGAATCCACTCGTTTCAAAATAGATTTTCTAGAAATGTCAGGTGCGGAATTTTCAATGCCCAACTGTCTATGCACGTAATGCACAACGTTTAAATCTAAACTCCGTTAGCAACGAGAGTACGAATGTTGTATCAGCACGACGGTGTCCCACCGCGTGTTCGTCGTGACATAACCCCATGGTTGAATAATCATTTTAGACAACGATGGATTGCTAGTAAGCTGAACAAATTAATACTGTTGATCAGTTACAAGATAGAATAGATGCTTCGTTTCATCAAATTCAAGTCATAGCAAATTTTGCGGAAATTCGGTTTTCATTATTAAAAAGATGAAGTTTCCGTCAGAATGGTGGTATTTTTGAAAATTCATTGAAATAGAGCTAAGATTATCTAATTTGTTTTTTTTATTTTTACGGAAACAATGCACTATAGGAGTAATTAGCAAGTAGTAATTGCAAGGGCAGATCCAGGATTTTTTCGTCTAAGGGGGGGGGGACTGCCAACTTGAAAAAAAAAATATGGAAAATGCTCAGAAATCCTGTAAAAGGCAATATTTTATTATATGAGAACAAAATAAGTACAATGGCATTTATAATTAACTAGTGTAATAATATTAAAGATCAAAACTTAAAAAACTTCATTCCTCTGTAACCCGAAAAAAAAACATTCTGAGGGACCCCGAGACATATCCCAGTCCATTCCACACAAAATAATGTCTTTGATGACGAACATGGGACTAAAAAATTCACATTATCGTATGGACGCGAGACGAGACAAAGAAGGATATCTATAGACCATCTATAGATCGTGTCTTGAGACCATCTCCAGACTGCCTACAGACAAATTTCGCAACGCGATCTACTAGTGTGTACTAAGCTTAAGGATTAGTACTCTGAACTACCCGTTAAACAAATCAAGTAATTGGTGTAAATACTGACACAATCAAGCAGTTCTATTATATCAGCAGGTGATAAAAATATCAATAGGTATAGTCAATTATTTTTTTAAATTCAATATAGATGTTACAGTTATTCTTCAGACTTTCGTTGACAAACTTAGATTTACGGCATAGTAATCCAATAGCAGAAGATCAAGGCACACAGAACCTACTTCCAAAATCCCATTGTAGAGAACAGACAAGCCGACGTCGAGTCCAGAAACAAATATAACGAAGCGGTTCGCAATGCCAAAAACCAGCACGATATAAAAGTTAGGCACAGGGTAATGTCGCAACGCAATGGCAGTCGGTTTTTTTGGACGCTGGCCAAGCAGATTGAAAAGAACTTCTCACACAGTAGCCATCCACCAATTACGTGTCAGGATGGAACTATAGTATTCGACTCAAACTCCAAGGCGGAAATGCTAGCCAAGATCTTTGCTGCCAACTCCACCATGGGCGTCCCCACCAACGCCCAAGTGCCGTCAATTCAAAGGGTTCCCCACACTATGCGGGAGGTAACATTCAGGCATAAGACCGTAAGACGAGTGCTCTTGTCCCTCGACATCAACAAAGCTTCTGGTCCGGACTTGATCCCTGCCATTGTACTGAAGAGATGTGCAGCGGAGCTTGCTCCAGTTCTTTCGCGTCTCTTCCAGATATCTTATGAATCCGGCACCTTCACAGAAAACTGGAAATTTGCTCATGTCCAGCCCATCCCAAAAAAAGGATCTAAGATCGACCCTTACAACTACAGGCCTATAGCTCTGCTTTCTGTTATAAGTAAAGTGATGGAGAGGTGCATAAATCGCGAGCTTCTGGACTACCTCGAACGTCACAGCTTGATTAGCGACAGGCAGTACGGTTTCCGGTACCAACGATCCACAGGGGACCTCCTAGCTTACGTCACGCAATTGTGGAGTAAACTCATCCAGTCTCATGGTGAGGCTCATGTCGTTGCTCTTGACATCACGCAAGCATTCGATCAGCTGTGGCACGCTGCCCTCTTAAGCCAACTTCCATCCTATGGCCTCCCAGAAAAGCTTTGCAGATGGGTGGCTGACTTTATCTCTGGCCGCAAGATATCCGTCGTAATTGACGGATTCTCCTCTTCATCCCACAACGTCAACGCGGGTGTTCCCCAGGGATCGGTCTTGGCTCCAATACTGTTTCTCTTACATATCAACCACCTCCTTTCCTACACGATCAACCCAATCCACAGCTTCGCTGATGACAGCACTCTGCATGCAGGAATTCAGAGTGACAAGCCGATCTCTGCCGCTGAGCTGGAAAAAAGAAGATTAGCGACGACTTCTTCTCTGACAAGAGACCTGGAGGCTATCACTGCTTGGGGACGCAACAATCTTGTACAGTTCAATGCTTCCAAAACACAGTATTGTACTTTGACGAACAAAAAGCGTCCTAGCGCTCATACAGTTTCGATGGACGGCCGAGTTCTACCAAAGAGCCATTCATTTCGGCTGGTCGGAGTCCAGATCACCGAGGACCTGATCTGGCGCGAACACATCACGTCAATAGCTGCAGCTGCTGGGAAAAAGCTAAGGGCTAAGAAGTACTTATCTCCGCATGACCTTCTCGCTCTATACAAGGCGCCCAGATAAGGCCTAGCCTCGAGTATTGCTCACACATTTGGGGTGCTGCCGCCCCGACTACATTGTCCATGCTCGATGCTGTCCAGAGGAGGGTGGTCCGACTGATCGATGACTCTTCTCTAACAGACAGTCTCGGGACTCTTTCGCACCGGCGAGCCGTCAGCTATCTAGCTCTTTTCTATCGCTACACCAACGGGCTTTGCTCCTCAGCGGTCTCTTCCATGATGCCGCCGCGCGATGTGCCTGCCAGACAGACCCGCCTGACTTCGGCATCCCATCCTCACCGTGTCAAACTTCGTACATCCAGAACTGGCCAATACGACCGCTCCTTTGTCCCGAAGGTGCCTAGATTATGGAACAATCTACAAGAGGAAGCTTTTCCCAGTTCTACTAACCTTAGGCAGTTCAAAAATCGTATTAACAAAATTTCTTTGGGATCATCATAGCAGCCTGCGCGACTGTTTCGATATAATAAAAAAAAGTTGTTGCTTTCTCAGTTTTCGAATCGGTGTTGATCGCATGTAAAAATGTTGGAAATCTTTGGAAAAAACCATATATGTTAGATCGTAATTATTTTGATAATGTATGTTTGTACGAAACAAGAACAGGAATACAGGGCTGTACATATTCACGTGCAGTGCAGATGCCCTGTGACTTAAACGAATTCCAATATAGCAACATAAATAGAAACATAAGCGGGAAGAAATGCGGGACGTGTGGTATTGACTTTGAGCATCGATCGACGCATTTTCTGGATAGGCTACAGGCGCACCGCTAAGCAAATCTCATAAATGTATATTTACAATGTATACGTAGGCGTTCATCTATAGTAACATGCAGGGTGACGCATCGAAAACGAAACAGACGCATTTACTGGCAGCTCAGTTTTTTTTTAAACGCTCAGACCCATCGATTTTGTTTTCGAGGGGGACACAAGTTTGGCCAAAAATCACGTTAGCTCGTGCAGCCCCCTAAGCGGGGGTGACACCACCCCCAAAATCTTAAATGGAAAGGGGGGTCGAGTGATACCTCATTTTAAAGGTCTTTCAATTCCCCCAATGGATGATAAAATCACGATGTCAGGAACATGACATGCCAACAAATTTATATTATGAATTTGTGAAGTTAGGTTATTTCACTGATTTTCATTTTATTTCATGGTTTTGAGTGATACCTTGATAATAATTTTAGTGTGGAGTTTTTTTTTGAAAAAAAAACAGTTATGAGTAGAACCTTAAGACAGGAACACCAAAGACCAAAGCATTATTCGAAAACAATCTAACCTCCTTTAACATAACCTAACTATTCATCTTTCAAATATGATCGATCATGTAACATAAAAACATCGTCTATCTTTCTCGGATACCTGCAAATTAGCAATACAGTCTGTTTAGACCATTGATTCCCAAAGTGGTCTATATCGATCCCTAGGGGTCTATGACAACCTGTAAGGGGTCTACGTCAGCGAAAAAAAATTTGGGGATCCATGAAATGAATATGGGGGTCCACGATAGTGGATCTCAACACATACACTGATAGTACCTATTTACTTACATCATACTATCTTATAATATCAAAACAACATTATTTATAAAAGTACCTATGAAGTAAAAAATTTATTATATATGTTTATAAAATTGTGTAAGTTGTAAGATGTTGGTATTCGCTTTGTGGTCGCAATACATTTTGAACTTGTAAAAACCTGAGAGTCGCAGTCTCAGAGCTTCGCTACCTTGCACTGACTTGTTCAATTCGTCACTCTATAAATACATACTCTACAAATACATTTGTCCGTTTCCTGAATCTTGAAAAGGAAAGTGCTAAGAAAATATTTTAAAAAATATAATATAATAGTAATAGTATATCACACAAATTATAGTGAGTCAGTGTTATTTTGTTTGAGAGTTCTGGAGAAAAGTAAGTACATTATTTTTTATTAAATTTTAGTTTTGTACTCGTAGTTAGCAAAGATAGATAAATTACGCCACTCATGACTTTAGTTATTAGAAATTAAATATTCAATCATGCAAAATTACACGAGTACTCCTCAATAGTTTCTTTTTGAAAGTTTTAGCAATCGGTAATATAATTACAGTGCAATCTCCATAATTCGAGCTAATTCGAGCAAGAAGATGTTCGAATTATGGAATGTTTTCGGAAAAATCAAAAAATATTTTTAATACACAGCTGCTGGATTTTCTGTCTTATTTAATTAATTTATTATTACTAAATGTAGACAGTACAGTATTGATTATTTGAAATTTGGCTTCATTCCATCATTGCCGGACAAACAATCGCCTATGTGCCTTTTATGCAACAAAGTTTTGGGCAATGACGCTATGAAACCATCTAACCTGCAAGATCATCTGAGAAGATGCCACCCTGATAAAACAGAGAAAGATTTGAAATACTTTCAAACACTCAAAGATAAATTTCAGAAGAGACCTACACTGGACAGAATGTTCGCTTCGACGTCACAAAGAAATGATGATGGTTTGCGGGCGTCTTACAATATCTCGTTACTTATAGCAAAATCCGGAAAACCGCATACTATCGGAGAGAAGTTAATTTTGCCAGCCGTTGAAGAGGTTTTAAAAACTGTTTTACACAAACCTGCATCTGATATCATTAAAATAATTCCCTTAAGCAACAATACTGTTGAAAGACGTATTGATGAAATGAGTTCTGATATTAAAAGCTTCTCATGTAATTATTTGCAAACGACCCTTTTCTCTAGACAACTGGACGAGTCAACTTTACCTGATAATGCAGCATTATTATTGGCATATGTTCGTTTTATTATGAATCAAGAAATCTACGAAGAACTGCTCTTCGCAAGAACTTTGATAACCGACACTAAAGGTGAATCAATATTTCATGTTTTGAAGGATTACTTCATTGAAAAAGCAAATCCTTTATCAAATATAATATCAGTAGCTACAGATGGAGCACCTGCCATGGTTGGACGTTATCGTGGATTTATAAGCTATTTAAATGTGTCAGGGCTGTTAGCAATACATTGCGTCATCCATCGACAACATTTAGTTGCTAAAAATTTGAGTGTTAGATTGCATGAATCACTTCATTTAGTCATTGCTGCAGTAAACCGAATCCGAAGCAACGCGTTGAATACGCGGTATTTGCGCAGTTGTGTGAAGAAAATGACGAACACTTCATCAATTACTCCTTCACACTGAAGTATGCTGGCTGTCGAAAGGCTTATGTTTGACAAGATTTTTTGCACTTTTTGAGACTATTTTAGAATTTTTGGATACTAAAGATAAAATTTTAAAAGAAAATTTAATGAAGAGGAAAACAGACATCGCCTATTTAACAGATTTGTTTACAAAATTTAATATGGTTAATTTGCAATTACAAGGCGACAGTTTAAATTTGATTAAAACAAAGTCCATCTTATCAGCGTTTCTTGCCAGAGTTAAACTAATGAAGCAAAATATTGGACGGGGCGAATTTTCTCAGTTCCCCAATTTGTCACAGATAAGCTGCCAGGAAGACGACGTTTCAACTTACGTACAACATTTAAATGCCCTCTATTCAGATTTTGAATCTAGGTTTGAGGATATTTTGACTATGGTAATACCACCGTGGATAATTAATCCATATGGTGACATAGAAGAAACGAATGTCATAATACAAGAGGAACTGACTGAACTAAGTACAACTTAAGGTTCAGTTTAAAAACGGATATCAGCAATATTGGCTGCAAAACAACATACCTGTTACTTATCCCGTATTATGGAATATAGCGAGGAAATTTTTAATTTCCTTTCCATCGTCATACCTAGTGGAAAGGGGGATCAGCGATGAAATATTTCAACGAATGAACAAAATATATAAACAATTGTCCATCGAGTAATACCCTGTAGAATATTTACATTTGGACATATCAAATGTGTTTAGTGTCATTATCGAATCATTTATTGGAAGATTAATTTATAACAATTTAAGCCAGCAGTACAACACTTCATTTTAAATAAATCAATTTTCAATGGATTCTTTATGAAATGTAACTTTTATATAAAAACTACATTTTGGACAGTAATATTAGTTTATCTATTCCTTGAAGCAACGGTCTAGATTTTTCAAAGCTTCATCTACTTGATCGCCATTAACAAGCGAAGACAACATAGCCTGGTTTCTCAATATTTGCACGCGCTCATGAAGATTATTCTTGTCTCTTTTTATCAAATGCCTATCATCTCTAAGAGATCTGAAAAAATCTCTCAACAGCGCGTTCGTGCTCTTCACCAAAGGCTGGAGATCTTTCAAAGGAGTCTTCTTTTCTACTACAGCTTTAGGTTTCTTTTTTCTGGAGAGGTATTTTTTGTTGGATTTTCTTCGGATTGGTACAGTTTCTAATCTGGGTTTCTTAGGAGGGACCTTTTTCTGAATCTCTCGAATTGTAAAGTCAAAGGATTCGATTTGTTGGGTTTTGTAATTGTACTCTGGACGTTCGTGAACATCAATGGGCCATTCTTTCGGCAATTCTAAGTGATCGCAATTTTTCTTAGATGGCTAAAACAAAAGCATGCCATAAGTATATGTAGGTGCTGGTACACGATAATGCACTTCGTCTTGTTGTAAGTAAAAAATGCGAAACTCTCTCTATATATACAGGATGTCCAAGATAAGGATCCTATGCATGGGGATCTCAATACCTGCGAGAGATACAGCCTAGGTTAGATTATGAAAAAGCCGCGTTCTTTGGGGCGTATTTAGATGCCGTTGAGAAACTTGTAAGAATTTCATTGCTTCGTAACAACTAAAAATTAGCAAAATCGTTTTTATTTTTTTCTGACTGTAAGAAATATCAAAAAGCTAACGGAACTTTTTCATTGGTACTTTTGTTAATCCAATTGAACTGTCTAAGGTTAGTAGAGCTGAGAAAAGCTTCCTCTTGTAGATTGTACCACATAATCGACACCCTTGAGACAAATGAGCGGTCGTATCGACCAGTTCTGGATGTACGAAGTTTGACACGATTGTAAAAGGGTCTCGAGACTATCTGTTAGAGAAGAGTAATCGACAGCCCTCCTCTGGACAGCATCGAGCATAAATAATGTAGTCTGGGTGGTAGCACCCCAAACGTGTGAGCAATACTCGAGGCTAGGCCTTATCTGGCCTTGAATAGAGTGAGAAGGTCATGCGAAGAAAAGTACTTCTTAGCCCCAAACAAATCGCCTTGCTTTTTCCCAGGAACTGCCGATATTGACGAGATGTATTGGTGCCAGATCAACTCCTCGGTAATCTGGACTCCAACCAGCCGAAATGAACGGCTGTTTGGCAGAACTCGGCCATCCATCGGAACCAGATTAGGACGCTTTTTGTTCGTCAAGGTACAGTACTGTGATTTGGAAGTATTAAACTGTACAGGATTGTTGCGTCCCCAAGCAGTGATAACCTCTAGGTCTCTCGTCAAAGAGGAAGTCACCGCTAGTCTTCTTTTTTCCAGCTCACCTGCCGAGATCGGCTTGTGGCTTCAAATTTCTGCATGTAGAGTGCTGTCATCAGCAACACTGTGGATTGGGATGATCGAGCGACAAGAGCAGGCGTCTGAATGTTACTTCTTGCATAGTGCAGGGAACCCTTTGAATCGACGGCACATGGGCGTTGGGGGAGGACGTCCACGGTGGAGTTGGCAGCAAAGATCTTGGCAAGCACTTCCGCCTTAGTCTTTGAGTGGGTTACAATCGTTCCATCCTGACACGTAAGTGGTGGAAGGCTACTCTGTGAGAAGTTCATTTCAATCTGCTTTGCTAGCGTCCAGAAAGACCGATTGCCATTGCGCTGCGACATTAACTTTTATATTGAGCTGGTCTTTGGCATTACGAACGGCTTCGTTATATTTGTTTCTGGACTCGACGTCAGCTTGTCTGTTCTCTACAGTGGGAGTTTGTAAGAAGGTTCTGTGTACCTTGATCTTCTGCTGGCGAGCAGTATCACACGACTTGTTGAATCAGCCGTTGGTCCCTGATTTGGGCACTTTCACTGTATAAGGGATGCATTCCTCCATCACAACGTGGATAATTTCAGTTATCGATGAACAGATATAGCCGACGCATTCCCGTCAACGAAATAAACATCTATCCAAGGAAAGGTAGAGAAGAAGTCTCTAAGCCTCCCCCAGTCTGCATGCCGGTAATGCCAAATTTTGCGGCCTGGGCGAGTTTCTGCTGCCACAGCTGGCCGGTCTGAGTTATTCAGGGAAGACACGACAGCAGCAGTGTAAGGGACAGGGTGCGGGGTCAGAAAGAGTTCCAGGGGGCTACTGGCAGTAGATCTCGTCACCAGCTGGGTGAGCCTTTGGGTAATAGCTGCATCGGTCTTGTTTGAGCCAAACCAAAGCTCATCATGGGCATTGAAATCACCGAGACGAACTACCTCTGAAGCGGGGTGATTGATGTTCAGAAAGTCGATCTTGACAGCGAGGAATTCAAGTAGGTCATACCAGTTATAGTCCGAGGGAGAGCGATGGAGGCAGCAATAATGGGGGATGTTTTGGAGTTGAGGAGAAGCCACAGAATTTCCTTCCGGTCTGATTTTAAAAAAACGTTTCTGGCGCAGGAAAGACTGCCGCGGACAAAAGCCACGACTCCCCCGTTTTTTCTCAGATTGGAGTGCACCTCGTAAATAGGGAAGCTAAGGAAATTAATCGGTGCAGACGCTGCGATTTTTGTCTCCGCCAAGAAAAGCATGGCGGGACCATTGGAATGCAAGTAGTGATGAACAGCATTAACATTGCTGTTAATCTCGCAGATGTTCGTGAAACAAATTTTATCATCAATGTTGTTCTCTCGAGTCCACTCTCCACTCAGAACATCCGAGAGTGAAGTGAGTTTACGTCTGGAGTTCTTAGTAATCGAAGGATCCATCATAATTAATTTCTTTGTTGGGGAAGATAACCGACTGCATAGCTTAGGTGTGGAAACATGCGGACATTTATAAGACACCCTGGGAAAAGCTAGCGGGTGGTACCGCCTCGGTCAACTGGTCCTTGTCTACCACCTTATTTTTGAGTGTTAATGATGTTAAATAGACCTGAAGTGGCCATTTGGTGGAGTTGTACCGCCACACGGCAATCGATAATGAGGTATTCCTTAACGAGTGTACAATCACTTGAACGGGAAGAAGTCGTATACTGAATACAACTTCCGGGACAAGCGTCTGCCACGGCCCCGCTCAGTTGTGGTAAGATAGCATCTTTTTCTACGAGCTCAAGATGTTTATAAAGAAAATATATTTTTTTATTTTATTTAAGTGGGCGTTCAGGCAAATATGATTAATTTAAGATTGTGATTACTGATAGATGCATATTCACAATAGGTGTTCAAATAGGTTGCGATTATGTTCTAAACATAAATATGACCTTCTAACATTGGAATTCAAAACGTCACGTAACATTTTTGGTGCAATCATACTAAAAGCTTCCATTACACATTCTCGTAACTGCTGCTCATTTTCAAAAGTATGCTGATAAACTTGGTTTTTATTAAAACCCCAAACAAAAAAGTCCAGAGGAGTTAAAACCGGAAACGCGCTGGCCAGGACATTGGAGGTTCCAATCCACCTCTCGGGAAATCGCTGAACCTGTGCCAAAGGTAAATTATCCATGTAGGCTTGTAGATATTGTTGCAACAAATAAACCTAATATTTTAGTTCCTTGGTTCTACACCACATATTAAGCCCAAAGCGTTCTTGACGTCTCGATACTTTGTTAGCCCGCAGATTTTCTTAAGCCCATTAATGAGTGATATCATTATTAGTAACGATACTCTTGTCGGACCATATTATTTTTGAATGAAAATTAAAATATTCTTCGCACGTTCGTGTGTACCACTCACAAAAATGCTGACGGCGTTCGCTATAGTTATGATATTGATTTTTACGCAAAATAAATTGGGCTGTGAATTTGGCTAGTCCTACATTTTTCTCAATTTGCCTAGTTGATATCTCAGAGTTCTCAGCGATTGTCTGTAAAACACTATTCTCAGTTTCCTCTAAAGACTCATTTTTTCGAGACAGCTTTTTCGTGCTAAGTCTAAGAAAATGGACTTACTTGGCTGCTATCTTTCGGGAAATTTATCAAGATACATTTCTGCAGTATTTTTAGTATTTTTGAAGCACAAAATATAGCACGTCAGCAGGTTGAACTTTTGTTCATTGCTAAAATGACCGTCTGGAATCTTTGACGATAATAAAGCAATACACGATAATAACAATTATCGGCGACAGGTATTTACGTCACGTCAAGCATTTGTTTGCAAACGCCTACTCAAAAAACCAAGAAAATAAATGTAACATGTGATACGAATTCGTATTCGTAAAAATGCTATCAGATAGTGTCGTTTTTTCGGACCATATAAAAGAATAATGTTGATGATGGCTACTCAAAAAGCGCCACCATGTAGAACCTAATAAATACTAATAAAGTTTCATTAGTTTTTTGATATTTCTTGAAATAAAGTCAGAAAAAATAAAAAATGATTCGTCCAAATTTTATTTTTTTCCAAATATCTCAGTAAGCCATGAAATTTCTACAATTTTCTCAACGACATATAAATACGCCACAAAGAACGCAGCTTTTTCTTAATTTAATCTAAGCTGTATCTCCCATAGGTATTGGAATCCGTATGCATAGGATCCTTATATTGGCCTCCCTAAATATACAGGGTGTTTCACAACTTATCCGACAAATTTTAACCACATATGCACTGTAACGAAAGAAGTTGATTTCTCAAAAAATGCAATATAAGTTATAAGCCTGAGTTTCAATAATAAATTTAGGAATAAATATCTGTATTTTGCATTTATTGTCGTGATATTAGAACACGCATTAATAATTTATTGTAGCAAATGTTGTACCAAACAACTGACAAAAACAAAATACCAAGAATTTTTTGTTTTTTCATACTGATAACGTGTAAATAAGGTTTAATCTGTATCGAGGGTGATCTGAATGAAGAACGGTGGATTTTTGTGAAGTTAAATAAGAAAGTATTTTGCGAGTTTATGTTCTTAGTCATTTATTAATAAAAATGGCACATGTGTACACTAATGAGGAGTTAGTGGACATTGTTTTAGCGTACGGAGATTTCCGAATAGGCACATACCACATCACGAAACATTCAGTTCAATTGTTTTACGTGCACGTGCTGGTGGAGATTTGCGCCCCAGACGTGGAGTGGATGGGGTCGGGTTTGCCAACAACACGTTTTAAATGCCGAAGACGAAATTTTGGTTATTGTGGAAGAAAATCCGGGAATAAGCACAAGGCAGTTGCATGGCCTCCACGGTCTTCCGGTCTAAATCCTCTGGACTTCTTTTTATGGTGATGATATCTATGGAATTAATTAGTGCGCCGAAATTGGATTAGACGCGCTCAAGCTTGCATTGCAGTGAATGGAAATAATTTTTATAAGTAAGTGAAGTATAGACTGTATTATTTTATTATCTCCATTTCTGTAGGATTTCTATCACATTTTTGTTTTAGAAATCAACTTCTTTCGTAACAGTGCATGTATGGTTAAAATTTGTCGGATAAGTTGTGAAACACCCTGTATAATTCTTAAATAGTTCAGCATGAGGGATTTTACAAAAAAGTGTATTTTGAAGCACTTGCTCAATTACCTTTAAAATCAGGTAATAATCATAACGTAATTGAGAAAATCATTTTTCACATTGTACTAATGTTTTATCGAAATCAATACTGAATGTGGAAAATGCTGAAATTATCTAACAGTACGCATTGGTTAACGCCAAATAAAGAAAGAAGTGATATTGTAGTATGATGAATAGAAATTAGAAAATACTTGCTTAAGCAAAAAAAAGAAACAGTTAGGAAAGCAATGGAGACATTGCTGTTGTAGAAAAATGTAGAAATTCACAACCAAGATACCACACCACCACATAGTGTTTTTGAACATCTGGGGATTTTTTATATCTTTATTTGGTCAGCACTGCACCGTACCTTATTTTCTTTGAAGTCATCTTCATCATCAGTGGAGTCCAGGAAAGCAAAATCTTCCTCATATAAAACTTCCATAGAAAAGTCCCTCGATTTGTTCCTCGTTGTTCTCACAGGGTTTCTTCTCACTTTTGGAAGATTCACCTGTGAATGATGGGTTTTTTTTATTCCTCTTTTTAATGGAAATTATAATAGAGGCAGGATCTAGCGTAAATCGGTGATTCAGCGCAGAACAGAGGTAGCACAATTTTGGCTACAAAGAATTGATATCCATTTCAGATAATTAAACCTTCTCCTCGAATTAACATGATGAAAACAGGGTGATAGGAGCATAGGAGGGTAAATCGCATATTCAGAAGTTCATTTAACCTAAAAAATCCGGCACTGAATTTTTTTTACCTGATAGCAATAAGGAAAATGGATAAACACAACACATGGAGTAATTAGTTTCATTGGCGTCTTAGCTTTAGGTGCTTAGCATGTTAATTGAGTGCTAAAAATAATAATCTAGCGGGCAAGGAAACTTATTTTATGGAACAATATGAAATATTCGTCCTTAAAGATTGAAGAAAAATGAGGTAGTCTAGAGAATAAATACTGTAACACCAAGTATAGTACAGCAAAACGAACAGAAAAATATTCTGTGATAAATATGGAGTTTCTACTTAGCTTACGTTCTACGTCATCTATCGCCAAATTGGTTAGGTCTTTTGTCAGTGATTTGTCAACATTAGTAGTTGCGTGCGTGCAGCAGGTAAATTAGCCATTACATTTTTAGAATGTTGACATCTGTTAAGGTGAAATTATTTATGAAAAAATGACGTCACTTGTAATTAGTACTTCATATTTTTTCGCTTCTCGTAGTATTGCACAAAAACAATGAATAATTGGATATTTGTACCTATTCAGTCATAAACAGCCAGAACAATTACGTAGCTGTCTATATTATCATAAGAAACTTATTTTATGCAATTTGTAGGTTTTAAAATCATTGCACGTGTCGAAATTTGACTTCTTTCAATGCTAGGAAATATTCTATTGCGTAGTATACATTATTTTTTTGGATTTATTTACGAAAATGTCACCTTGACAGAATAAATCTTTCGTTAATCATAACATTACTTTTAATGCATATGATGCCAGATCTAGCCTCTACATATTGGCGGAGGCATATATTAGCGTATTAGCCCATTCACGTTAAGGTGTTGCCAATAACACTCTGTATAACGATAGTAATACGATATTTTTAGTTTCAGAGATGTAGATTTGAGAAATATTAAACGTAATGATTTTCAGATAATGTACTCTGCACAGCAATACTATTTATAGGGGTACAACAAAATTAAAAAATTCTGTAAAATAAAACAGGGAACTAAATGTCAAAACTTACCTGATTTGATCTACTGTACGGGCTTCCAAATTCAACTTGTCGGCCAGTTTCTTCCTTTATGATTTCATTGTGTTTGTATTCCTTGACGAATATTACGTCGTCATCATCATCTTTTTCGTTTTCTTCATGTATGGCAGACGAAATTGTTGAAGTAGCAGTAGCAGGTTCGAGTGTATCTAAATCTGTCAACTGATCAACGTCTACGAACTCGGGTTGATCAGGAACTTGGTCGTTGTTGTAAAGGATCTCCAGCACAGTCAGATCTTGGCCGGACTGATGATTAGGTCGCATACTGGGTACGCTGTCGAATTGGAAATAGTCGCCATCCAGCACAATTTCAGGAAGATCCAGGTTTTGATGTTGGGCAGGATTTAGTACTATGGAGCATTCATCCTGAGAGATGTCCCGAGAATAGAACATCAAAGATCGGTCGTACAACATCACTTGGCCGCTCTTTATAATTCCAGAGGAGTCGTAGATTTCATTGGGATTTAAGTCGGTCTTCAGGGCCATGGCTAGATAATTCAAGCATACAGCTTATTAGAATTTTATACAGATCTGCTATATGCTCATAAATGTCGAATTCCCGGTCGTAAACGTGCCAAAGTTTGTTCAAACGCGTTATAATTTTTGAACTTGGTTTTTGAGCCAGAAAACCTCGATAGAGATAATTAAATGGATATAAAAAACAGACCATAGGATGTGCAATGTAAATACGGAAATGTCAATTCACATGTTCGCGGACAAAAATCTGAACAACCTGGAATTGTCACCTAGCAACAAAGAACTTATTTTTATAGATGCTGGTATACTGGTTTGTTGAATAGCTGAAAGTGTTAAAAGAAGAGCCAAGAACGAAATAATTGCCATATCGGCTCAAAAACCGTTATAACTATTTTTTAGATATTATTATGAAGTTAAAAAGATAAGGGTGCCAGCTAATCCTTATTGCAGTGAGCGTTATCATGTGAAAGAAACGGTGTTAAGTAGGTTGACTCTGCACTTCCCACACAACGCCGTTATCAGCCCATGAAGGATTATGTTAGGCACAAACTAGACCCTCTGAGAAAAAAGTCAGTCAAACAGGTCCATAGAATTAGTCCATTGGCATTATTTGTCTGCCTTACCGGTTAGTGCTCCTGGAAACGTCGCCTCTCCCCGACAAACCCTATTTCACGAGTACCCATTAAGTTTTGCCGTCTACTGAAGTGAACAGCTGATCAGCAATCGAACCTTTGTATTAGTCGTCAAACTTACGACCATATTCAGGGCTGCTGTTCACATATCTAGATACTTTTAGCAACTGGGAATTTTGACAATAAAATATACGCAGTACTCATAGAAAAATTTTTAGTAGAAAATTATTGTCGTACATCTGCAATTTATTGATTACGAGGTAAGTCAATAGAACAGACTGTGTTGTCCTTTCCAATAGATGTAATTTAACATGTAAAAATAATACACGTGTTTCTGGTTATTTATCATCAGTGTAACGCAATTCAAATGTGGTTGTTTTTCTCTTTAAAGTCGTATGGTGTTTCAAGTTCTAAAAAGTAGAGACGATTAACAAAATCAGAAACCGTTTATCTCATTTCATTTCTACCTGACTTGAAATGATCATTATTAGCCATTTGGCTTGAAGCGTTTTTTTTTTGTATGAGGGGAATCTTTTCTGAATAAAAGAGTGGTTAGGAAGTACAAAATGAATCAGCAGCGTACAAAAGAAAGAAACAACAAAATACCGCTTTTTACCTGGAGTTGACAAATCCGTCAGAATTGTGTGTCACTTGTCGATATGGGGAATTTTGAAATATTGCTAGATAACCAGCTGTTATTTTCCGTAAGACGTGGCAGCGGGATCAGAGAATCGGAAACACTATGCTGTTGCGCGGCAGAAATACGTGTAATACCATACCAGAACAACATAATTAACCAAGGTCGGCGGAGCAGCAGCCGTGGCCGGTAGGCACGCGATCCGTTTGTCGAGAATAAGTTATAAGGGCTAATGTACGGACAAATATATGCTGTGTGAAATATGTCTAATAGGTGCGTAGAATTACCAATTTTGGGAACTTTTAAATGTACTAACATCAAAAAATTGAGATAAACCCTCTACATCCCCTAATTTTTTTGTGTTTGCGTCCTTGGCATAGTAGTAACATTGTATAAAAAATTCATCGAAATCCGAGCGGTAATTCTCAAAAGTTATAGACGGTAATAAGATTAGCGGAAAGACAGACAGACAGACCAACGGAAATGAGTGACATGGTTTCTCGTAATGCACGTGTCATAGATATACGAGTATTATCTAAAAAACAATATCTCATTAAGACGAAACAACTTCTCCGACAGTAGGCGTGGGAAGTCAAAAATAGCATCCATATTTATTTATTATTTTCATTCTTATGAGAGCGCAAACAGATCAAGTACCCTGTCTCTTGTTTACTCAAGTGCCAATTTTAAGAGTCAAAGAAACATCTTAAGCCTGAAATTATGAATCTGTTATATTTTTATCTGATATTGACGCAATGCGTACGTTACTGGAACAAAAGTAAATAGTGGGAAATATACTTTGAGTATATTTTCAACCTAGATGCAGCAAAAATAAATTTTCTTATAATTATAAATCTCAGTATTTTAGAAGTGGATTATGACCTAGATTATTTTTATACACATCGGGAATACGCAATATATACCTTTATGTATTTACATTTTAAATACATAATTACAGATTTTACATACATTTTTTGCTGTGCATTTTGATAAAAACATGTAGATTAATCTTTCTTCAAATTATCATTCAATCAAATAATGAATTCAAGAGTTATTTTATATAATATGCAAATGTTGCAAATTATCCAAATTTATCCTAATATCTTCATTAGGGTGTTCCAAAAAAATGAAAGTTGTTTTTTTAACACGCTTACCCTCTAATTTTGCTTGAACAATGTCAAAACAATATTGTAAATAAAGTTTTATGTACCTAGAACCAGGGCAACTTGTCCCGAGTTGCGTTGGAACATGTCAAAACTTGACTAACTTAATGAATGGACAAGTACTAGCAGGTTTGTTCTATAATACCCGGGAACTGAAATCAAGTGTCAATGAGAGCGCCAAGCTTGAAAGTATTTATTAAATCTCTACTCAACTGTGTTAAGAAACTAGTTACCTTATACGAGGGATGTCTTTTAAGTTTTGCATATATGGAATAATTTTAAGTTGACAATAAGTTGTTAAACATTATGGAGTATCCGTTTGATGAATATTCTGATATTCATTTAATGTACGGATTGGCAAGATGTAATGCTTTAAAAGCACGAACATTGTACGCTGACAGATTCCTTTTATAAAAGCGCTGATTTTTTTAACAAACCTCAGCTTTACCCGTATTCAACACTTTTTCGTATTCTATTTTCGTTCATACAGGGTGGTCCAAAAAGGCAAAATTTACTTTTTCTCGGAAATTACGAAGTTTCCTGCAGTCGAAAGTACTAATAATATTTTCACTTGCATATAATAGTATAACTGGTATCTTTCACAAACCTGAAGAACTTATTCCGATAACTTAAAATTTAAGGAAGTTATTACGTACGCGACGTCTCTTAGGCCCGTATCGTCAGTCGTCCCTACAATTGTAGGGCGCCTTTATGGCCTCCTTGATTGTCATAGTTTTCTACTTCTCCGTGTCAGTGCTCTATTTTGAGGTTATGTCTCAAACATCTATTTGCATCAAATTGTGGTTGCTTTGGAGTTATATCATGTTTTATCAGCCTGAAATTTCCTACAGTTTAAAAGAAAACATATCTTTACAATAGGAGAGCGCTGACGCTGACACGGGACAAGTGTAATCTAGAAATTTTTGAAGGAGAGAAAGCAGTATGACAATCAAGGAGGCCATAAACGCGCCCTACAATTGTAGGACGACTGACGATACGGGCCTTAGTCCTTAGCGCTCAATATATTGTTTGTGCATATAACGCTGTGCGACATTAAGGATATACAATAAATAAAATGGAAGATTTTCTGCGTATCGATTCCTCTAATATTCCAAAGGTGGACATAATAATGGTTGTAATGGTAAAATATACCTACTATGCGAAACATGTATGCTTTGGCACGAATTAACATTTATAATGGAGAAGTTTCGGGATATTCAGAATCGCATAAGTAATGACATACCAGCAAAAAATAGACTAAATATAATCAGCCAGTGAAAAAAATTATTGAAATTGGCCAATAAATGACAGAGAAATTGATACTTAAATTTGGCGCATTATAGCGCGAAATCATTGCTGCCGTTCGATCACGTCTGACGTCACACTTCTCTAGTGCCCAGCGTCTCGTCGCGTAGGTGTTCCACAGCGTCTGTGCGTTTAGTCGTTAGTCTATATACAATTCATAAGACACACCTGTGCGCTCGGACACGTGGTTTCCAGTTGATAACTATTGAGTACTGCGTAAGTTGATACCATTATGGACACCGCATGCGAAGGTACGTAGAAAAAGGTTTATTATGGGTTGTAATTGTTGTGCTTGTACATTTTGGAACGGTACAGTATTTATAACAACACTTTGTTCTTATTTCGCTCATAACCGATCGTATATGTAGTCAACTAATTAAACAATTTGGGGCGGAAGACGTTTAGCCTACCATGTGCCCCGCTGTATGTGCCTCGGCAGCGGGCGTTGCAACTGGATACTGAAGTAGTAATTTTACACTGCTAACGATGTCAGCTTAACGTCAAAATGAGTCATAAAAATCAAAACAACTTCTGTTTGCAGTCATGGCTAACTATGTATAATCAACAATTCATTTAAATTCGCAGTACATTCTATCATGTGACAAATTTTTTAGTTTGATTTTATTCAAAATGGCACAATTTATCGATATTCAGTAAGAGTACCTTTTTTATGTAGAAAACCATAAATTTTCAAATTCTAAAATTGAATTTCAAAAATAGAATCTCACAAAAATTTTGGGGCTAAAATAACCTGAGTCCGTCCCTGTTACATACGCTTCCAAACAAAACTGTCTAAAATTGTCAATATTTTTAAATCCAGCATAAAAAACTAGGCTAGAATACCGAATGTTATGTCTTTATCTCAACACTTTTCGGAAATATTAAGGAAAAACCATCTTCAGGGGAGCCCCTTTAAAAGACCGTAGCGCCCTTAGGGGACGTTTCTCGACCTATGTTTATATAAACTTTTCTTCCTATTTTAAGCTCTAGAATATTGCATACTTTTTTTGGGACACCCTGTATAGGCTTTTGAGATAAATTAATAATTTTTTCTCCATCTTGTTTCATTTTTCCTAAACTTTCATTTGAGCTAATAACAAAAAATGGTAAACTTGTCCATTAAGCCCACACACGATTGACGCCACAGTAGTTCAAAAGTCCTAAAATATGACCAAAAGTAGAAAGCTTCGCTGAATTTTACAAAACAATATACAGGGTGTCCGCAAAGTTGGGGTTTTCCTTTTCAGAAACAACTACCCTTGAAATAACAAAGGTAATGTGTAGAGAAACGAGGGCGACCAAGTAAAAAAAAATAAAGGAAAAAGTACTCACTCTCCAGTTGACGAGAAGGGCTAAGTACGTCTCTGCCTGAAATCATACTGCTCCAACAGAAAAAGAAATCAGCTGATGCGCTACCGAGCAGACGCAGAAACCACATTGATTGTCTTAAACTGAATGGCACATCTTCTAACAAGGAAGGCAAAATGTTGCGTAAAAAGACTAGGTATTTCATCCCGTCCAATCGATTTGGGAGAATAAATGGTCCAATGAGCATACCGTTCACCATGCCAGCCCAAACATTCACCGAAAATGTTTGTTGAAAATGTGCCCGACGGACAGCGTGCGGATTTTCTACTGGCCAAACATGAGTGTTGCGAAAGTTATTCACCCGATTACGCGTGAACGTAGAATCGTCTGTCACCAATATGCACTTCAAAAAGTCCGGATTATTGTCATGTTGATGCAACAACCAGTCACAAAACCGCACTCTTGCTGGAAAATCGTCAGGTTGAAGGGCTTGTACACGTTGGACGTGAAACGGATACAGCCCCTCTTCACGCAGCGTTTGCCACACTTTAATTTTTGATACTTGCACTTCTCTAGTCACGTCTCTAGTGCTTGTTGAGGGATTCTCGTCTACGCGATTACCTCTACACGCGTGACCGTAACCGTCGGTTGAAGGTTGCATACTGACCTGACACACTGACCCTCACCCAGTTCTGTCGTCGGGTTGAGTCAGTGACCTTGTACCACTTGGTGATGTCCCGGCTACAGGACGGTATTCAGATATTTTTGATGTTGCAGAGCCCTTTATCTCGGTTCCCTTAAGACATTGGTGTATATGGTACTAAGAAAAATTGCTTATGTTTTCAAGATTTACACGTCGTGTAGAGGAAAACCCCAACTTTTGCGGACACCCTGTATATCAACGGTTTCCAGGTTTCTAATAACAAAGATCAAAATGGCGGATTTAATATGGTGTACATCTTTTCAAAAAAAAAAATATTTAGATTGAGCTCAAAATTAGGTTTCAAGTGTTTTTAGGATCGCTAATAACAAATAAAGATCGATTTTTAAAAAATCTAAGTAAATGGCTATGTTTTAAAAAATTTGTCAATTGCGCTCAAATTATTATTATATGTTTTGAATGTATAATTAATGTATTATTGTATAATGCCGCATAATTGCCAAGCTTGCAGTCAGCTGCAGCCAAAATTGACATATTTCTTAACCGGGTATCAGATAAACACGATACTATTCGAAATAGAGCGGACTCTAAATTGGCTTTTTACAATGCCATGTTGTAATAACTATACATACATTCAACTCTGCAATCCATTTTGCCACATCTCAATACAGCTGATTATTAAAACGTGACAGTATTTGATTATAAAATTTGTTTGCACTTTTCACCAGGTTTTTTGGTTTCTGAACCACGGCTATGCATCTCCACGTCGTCTCCGACACGGTTCAAGGATATTCCCCTTCCGGCTACAACACGATCACTATAACAACATTCACATTATCTCGAAATAAAAGCAATTTGATTATTACATTTCACATGTAGCTGCACCTGAATCGGTTCTTAAGGCACATCAAAGTATGTTTGAACATGTTTTTTCAAATTCCACCATAGTAATAAAAATTGGATGATACCCGACTCGAGCCATACCTACTAACATCAAAATGATATTTACAGGATTGCTTACAATAGTATTTCCCAAGCAGGCAATTTTATCGTCTCTGATGATTACCCTGCACCACGTTCTTCATATTCTTTGTTTTGGCACAGGTAAACATGTTTTTCTGGAGCTGATACAGTAGCGTAGCGAGGGGGGGAGGGCAGGGGGGGCATGGCCCAGGGGAGCAAATGAAATGGGGCGGCGACAAGCTCAACATTGTTTTTTAATCATAAATCAAAATATCCTATTTTAAACCCCAAATAGCGCCCTTGCTGATAGTTTAGTGAAAGTATTCGTACCCGTTGGAAAACGAAATTAATACTACGAAGTTAGGAAGCAAGTTAAACTTGATCAACTTTCGGATGTTCGATTGAGCTGAAACTTGACATACATAAGTAACTCACAGACCATACAATATTATCATGACGGTGAGCTCACCTAATAATAAAGCCGGAAGGCAGTTATGAAACCACATGACTAAGTAACCGCACTGCTTCCTAAGATCGCACAAAATAGCTATTCTGTCAGTGCGGTCAAGGCACTTTCAAACGAAAAAATATTTTCTACTTATTGTAAGCCTGTAACCTTATTGTTTGCAAGAGGAAAAACTCGCCAAATGATAAAACTTGCATAATTAAACAGAAATATGGGAATACTCTTGCATCGCCATAAATTTGTTTATCAGGGGACGTGAAAACCCAGAAACTAGGTTTTTGATTGGAGCAAAATTAACAAACAAATAAAAGAGCGTTTCAAATTTCATTTTTAGTTTATGTTTCACCGATTGTCATGAACTGTTGAATCAAGTACGGGTGTTTTAGCTAAAGACAAATGGAAACGCAATGTATATAATTTTTAATAACCAGCCTCATTCTTATATATCATTTTTGTATTATTTAGCGCTTTCTTTCGAAAGGATATATACAGGGTGACTTCGAAGTTGAGTCATTTATTTTAACAGTGAGTAGATCTGATCAAAAGAAGTGTTTTTTCCTTTAACATTTTTCTGGTAAAATTAAAGTAACAAAGTTATAGCCCTTTAGAAGTTTGAGTACCGCCCAGTCTCAATAATAATATTATGTGCTCGTGTTTGGCAACAACGGATATAATCCGCCTTATCGGTTCATCGCATCGGAAACAAAAAAGCGAAAGAATTTGAAACGATGTTTTTACTACAATTATTATTCAGTTGTATTCAGTCAATGTGTCAGTCGGTAACGCGTGAGTCAATAGTGGTGTTTGTTGCGTGGCTCAAACGAAATAAAAAATGGCACATGTTTACGAAAATGCTGAACTTGTGGATATGATTCTTATTCTTAATCGAGTGCAACCAACCCCTCGTGCCTTTGTTAAAGTACAAATGGCTCGTGAATCAGGTGACTTAAGACCTCACAGGGAGGGCATGCCGGTGCTCCAAGACCGCACGATCAAATACAGGTCCGCACTGAAATACTTGTCGGGAGGATACTTTATAAAACAAGGTAACATTTTTTTTTATTTTTACGCACATATTTTGGTTTATCTTCCTTGTACAATCATTATCTGAAAATTAATGACTCAACTTCAAAGTCACCCTGTATACACCTATACAGAAATAATGAATCATTTTGTTGGATCGTTAAAAGTTTGGCAACCGAGAAAAGATGTAACTCATTAATCAAAATGCATCGTGGAAAACCGAATTTAATATTTTAAGGTTTCTCAAATTAGATACAGTTTTGCATATAGATACACACATGACCGCTCCATGGAGCTAACTGAAAAAATAGAATTATTAGTATCTGAGAACACATATCCACACAGCCAAATATTGAAGGAAGTAATTGGTAAAACTTGATCCAATATAAGTTCCCAATAAATAAAAATAAAGTATACTATTAAGTATACTTTTAAATCTAAATAATTAAAACCCGGCAAATACTTTTACCTAAACTAATTAAGCAAATTTAATGAATATAATTAAATTGATTTACTTGAAGCAGTTAAACTTATTTTTAATAACCTGGTGAACTCACTCTAAGTAAACGGTTTAATACATTTTAGAACACGATTCCGCTTTGATTTATTTAAGCTAGTTTCATAGACTCAAGTAAACTGTTTTAGAAATCGCAGTTTAATTGAACTAATTAATCTTGTTAGGTGTCATAAAGCTAGTTAATATTTTTAATTTTTAATTAAAATTTTAATTGGTATACTTTTTTTGCATATGGCAAATTACATCCAAATCTAAATTTTGACTGTCCAGCTATGAATAGGCTCTATGTATTAGAGTCGTTTACGGCTTGACATATTTTTTCGTTTTTTAGACAAAATATGCCTCAAAAAACTCGACAAAACGACATAATTTCTTCGACTTTTTTTTTGTGCAACATAATGACTATACTTAAAACATGCTGTGACAACAATGTCAACATTTTATCTTTGTTTTTGTTCAACTTTGTTAAATTTTATCTCTTAGTTTATGTGATGAAAGCAGTTTCTGAGAGCTGAGTAGTTCAACAAAATGCCTCGAGTTCGAAGACGTCCAAATTATCACCATGTTAGCGACTTTGACAGTGGTCGAATTATTGCCTGTCGAGATGTTGGTTTGTCCTATCGCGAAATTGGCCGCCGAGTTAATTTTACTCCAATGACGGTAATGCATGTCTGTCGTGTGTGGATAGAAGAAGGTAGAAGAACGCGAAGAAGGCCAACTGGTCCACCGAGGCGTACAACAGCGCGTCAAGATAAGCGCGTCAGACAACTAGCCCTACGAGACCGTTTTGCTACTTCGGGTCAGATCGCTGACCAATGGTTTCTCTCTGGCCGCAAGATATCCGTCGTAACTGACGGGTTCTCCTCTTCATCCCACAACGCCAACGCGGGTGTTCTTTATGCATCGGTCTTGGCTCCGACACTGTTGCTCTTACATATCAAAGACCTCCTTTCCTGTACCATCAACTAAATACACTGCTTTGCTGACGACAGCAATCTACATGCAGAAATTCAGAGCGGCAAGCCGATCTCTTCCGATGAGCTGTAAAAAAGGAGACTAGCAGCGACTTCCTCTCTAACGAGAGACCTCGAGGTTATCACTGCTTGGGGACGCAATGAGCTTGAACAGTTTGATGCTTCCAAAACATAGTACTGTCCTAGCGCTCACCTAGTTTGGTCTGACACGAACATATCTCGTCAATCGCGGCAGCTGCTGGGAAAAAGTTAGGCTATTTTTTAGGGCAAGAAGTACTTTTCTCCGCATGGTCTCCTGGCCTCCCACCGACTACCGCCCCGACTACATTATTTATCCTCGATGCTGCCCAGAGAAGGGCTGTTGGACTGATCGACTCATGTCTAACAGACAGTCGCAGGACCTTTTCGCAACGGCGGGCCGTCGGCGATCTAGCTCTCTTTTAGCGCTACAACAATAGGCTTTGCTCCTCAGAGCTCTCCTCCATGATGCCGCCGCGCGATGTGCTTGCCAAACAGACCCCGCCTGACTTCGGCCTCGTATCCTAACCGTGCCGAACTTTGTACATCCAGAACTGGCCTATACGACCGCTCCTTTGTCCCAAGGGTGTCGCGTGGAACAATCTACAAAAGGAAGCTTTTCCCAGCTCTAACTAATCTTAGGCAGTTCAAAAAACGGGTTAACATAAAACTATAAAGAAAAGCCTCCATCAATCAGTTTTCAAATAAAAGCGTCTTTAACCCTTTTCCATCTTGCTGGAAAACTTAACACGCTTTTATTCGAAAACTTGAGATGAAGGAGCTTCATTATCGTTCGAATACATATTTCCAATCGGAATAACTTATTTTTAACTAGTATAGTATATATAGTTCACTTTATTAACAGCTAAATAAAGGTTGTATTTTATTTATTCTGCTTAACACACAACAAATGTCAGTCATTATTAGGGTTGCCATAAATACTTTAGCCAATGTCGGGACACTTTCAACAGGGGGGAAAAAACTTTATTCAACAAAAATAAAATGCAAACATGAACATTATCTATAACCTATAACATTTCTTAACTAACAAACATAAAAGGTATACAGGGTATTTCATTTTAAAAATTCTACCTAGGGGTAAATAGGTACAAAAGAAGCCAAAAAAATTGAAGCTTGTCAACGATTCTTTGGTATCATCTAGCAGTTGTTTAGTTTCTATAACACATATTTTTGATTTTTCAATTTTTTTAATATTCTTTTGAAACAGAAAGAGCTGCGAATGTATAAACATCAAATAAATTTCACTGAGTGGGTTGGCGAAAAAATCTGCAATAATTTTGGGCGGTTTCTCTTCGGAACTGAAAAAATATTTTAGTGGAGTCCATAGTTTTAAAATTCGTTCAACCGCAGGGAACAATGACAGCTACCTCGTTCTTGAATGCGGCAACAAATTACTGTAAGAAACGTCTGCATAATCGCAAAACTCCTTTAGTCTCTCTGTTCTAATGGTATAAAATATCGAAAAATAATTGAATATTTTAAGGACGATAACTTCGACATCAATAGATAATAAGCTTGCAGCGGTTGAAATGGTGTTGTGTAGAATAGGAGCAGGACATCCAATGCCCTCAATATCTCTTCCTACTTCAGTTTTTAATTTAAAGTGTACATTTTTTTCACCGCGTCTATCAACGCCGCCAAAGTTTGTATTGGCGTTGTCGCCACAAAAAGCACTTAATTTTTCAAGTGATAAGTTTAGTGTTCTTAATGTATTCAGGCAAAAACTGGATATTGTTTCGTTTTGCGGTTTAGCATAATAAAATCTTAAAATTTAAAAATCGGTAAATCTCGAATACCGAATACTTGTTTACTTGTTTTTTGATCCAAATCATAAATCGGGACTGTCAAATCGGGACGTCGGGACATAAGGCCTAATAACGGTGACAGTCCCGATATATCGGGACGGATGGCAACATTAGTCATTGTTATAGAAAAATGTGACCAAACAATATTTTGTAATTTTCCATTACGCCAAGATTCGGCCACGATCGTTTGTTTTGAATGAAAACTAATGCAATCGCTTTCAATGCCTATCGGGATAAAATTAGAACATGAGAAACATTGAGAAAATCAGTGATAAAACTAGACGAATGCAAGAATGTACATTTAAACATTAATACCAATTGGTAGGTATTATTAAAGCAGCAGTTTAAATTTATACAATGTTTTGAATGTATGAGTGGAGTATTAGCATTAGTCAGTCTGTTTTTAACATGACAGGAAATACTACGTCATTGCATGATGATCGTTAGTATGTGTATTCGATGTGCCAAAATAAGAAAAATACCTTACGAGTGTTTGGTAATCAGTGCTTTCGGAACTATTACAGTAATTATATTTTGTATTACAATGAATGATATCGGACTTAGGGACATTTGAGGACATCTGACAGGAGAATGGCTTGACTTCAAAAGCTCTCGTGTGCAAAATTTGTTATCAGTCCAAAAACAATATTCTTGGATAACGAACGTACACTATCCATTTTCTCGTTATTCCTGTCCCTGGAGCATAAGACCCCAAGGAATATGACTATTCTGTGAAACTGGTCCAACGGACTTAAAAATGACCTCCACATTGCAATCTGATAAGTTGGCAGATATTTCAGTCACAACTGATGTTTTACAAATGTTTTTATTGGATTCACAATTGGAATGCCTTCCAAAACAGTTGTTTTCCGCAAAGGGAAAACGACCAACTATCCCCCTATATAAAATCGAATTTTGTACTAGAGCCATTAATCTGCTCGAATAGGCCTTTGAACCAAAATCGGCTATTTTTTTGATACTGGAGGGAGGGTCATGTTTCGGATTTTTCTGAAGGAGACAGAAATCTTTGAGTTCTAGATAGAACGGTTCGGTCTGGGACGCACTCAAAGTTTGAAGGTTCGAGATAAATTATGTAACTTTTCAATTTTCTCGCTAATCCTGCCCTGAAATTCGCTTTAATATATTACTATACCGAAGTAAGGTTGCCAGAGGAAGTCAAAAAATCGCGTCAAGTAGGTTGGCTCTGCCCTTGCCACGCAACGCCGTTATCAGTTAGGACTATATTCATATAACTAGACCCTGTGTGAAAAATGGTCCATACAATCAGTTCATAAACATAGACATTATTTCTCTGCCTTACTGGTAGTGCATCTGGAAACGTGGCCTCTCCCCGATACCTGACCCGGTCAGGCATGACAGCGCCTGTAATACCGTACCAGAACAACAGAACACAGACAGACTGACAGAAATAAGAGACATGTTTTTTCGTCATGTACGTCATATAATACCAAAAAAACTTACCTTATTTTTGAAAATTTTCACGATTACAATTCTAAAAATACTTTACATTTTATACTCGGGCCTCTAAATCGGTCTGATAGGCCATTCAATTTTCGATATTTTGGCGTATTTACCATTTTCATGTTGCTTGATATTAATTGGCTACAACGGCATTTAAGATATTTTTGCAGAAAGCCAACAAATAGTTCAGTACAAGCTAATCATATCAGACCAATATTACGAGGTCATAGAAATACCATGTATTTTTAGACTCATAATAAGTTGATTGGACCTGATTTACTTCTATCCAAAAGAGCTTCGTTGGTACGTTAGAGGGCGTCAAAGATTTCTTTTTCAAACACACTTTTTTTTGGAACCGATAGTCCAATTTGAATAAAATTTAGAACACGTGTTTTGCTAGACGTCCTGATATTTGACTTTTACAAGATACCGGAAGGGGTTTGAGAAGGTTGAAAACTACCCCCACCCATATAGCAGAATTTTTTGCAATTTTTCGCCGACTCTGATTTTTTTTATTTAGCAGATCTTTTTATTTATTTCATTTAAATAAACAAGTATTATTTTATTTAATGCAGGCAATAGTACGGATCTTTCATAAAAGGTGTTCAATATGACTACCATTTTCGTTCGTGCACATAACAATACGGCGCAAAACATTATAGTTAACTTTGTCATGTCTTTATTCTTTATTGTATTTACAACATTTTGAAACCTGTGCAATAGTTGATTGCCATTGCCTATCTGAACCTCGTATACCGTTGTTTCTAATATGAAAAAATCGCAAGGATTAAGATCTGGGGAATGAGGTGGCCACTGAACAGAAGCTTCTTGACCTCTACGAATCCATGGGCCATCAAATTTCTCGTTCAAGTAACTTCTTACAGCACGCGCAAAGTGAGGTGGAGTGCCATCAACCATTAAGCATATCTCTTCTCATATTCAGAGCCAGTTACTCCAGTAATTGAGTTAAAACGTATTGCAGAAAATGAAGATAGCTATCTCCATTTAATTATCAGGCAACCTATATGAACCAACAGCCATCAAAACGTTAATTTTAAATTCCCATTGAATATGTATTTTTGAAACTGCATGCATGCGGATTTTATTCAGCGTAAACATTTGTATTATGCAAATTTATCATACAACCTAAGGTAAAACATGACTCATCTGTAAAGAAAATTTTCTTGTGAAATGACCTATCAGCTGCTCTGTTCTGCGTTCTGAGACATTTTGCGCGAATCTCAAACGTGAGTGATGGCCAGTAGGCAATTATTCCAATCGACGTATTTTGAGTCTAAAAATACGTGGTACTTCTACGTTATATCCACGTAATTCCGATTTTGGAAACTACGTGTATAAAACATACCAGAAATGAAACCTTCTTTGTTCCTAATGACACGGTGAAACATTGTGAATAGATACATATCCGCATGTTGAATCAGTGACTGTTCAGAATCCGGCGTTGTTCTCTGTTCTCGAAATAGCACCGGGACTTCAGAAATGTTGACAAATTCCTGGAATTCTCAGAATTATGAGCATCGAACGTCCCCTCACGGTTCGAGGCTATTTAAAAAAAATCGTTGTATGTTTGGTTTTTAACAAATAACGCAGTGTGACCGGAGCCAAGAAGCCTGGCGCCTACTGCTGATTTATATCACGACAAAAAGAAATTATATTTAACTAATGTGAAAATTTTGCATAAAAACTTTAAACTGCTACTCGGAATATGATAAAATATCGTGATTCCTGTTTTAATGAATGAATGAATCATGAAAATTAGAAGCATACCAGACACCATAGGGAGCCTCTCAAACGGGATCTTGTGCACCTATACATTCTTTAGACATCAAGCCTCGCCATTTTAACAAAGTTGTGTGTGGCCTTGAGTCCAAGCTCCTTAATCCTTAATATCCTGGGGGTCCAAAGTGATAGACCCCAGTATAGTCTGCCTGTAGTAGCTCATAGCACCTCAGGGACATAGAACGTGCGCTGAAGTGTCTTCCTCTACCCCGCAGCCCTCACACAAAAGATCCTCAGCCACCTCCATCACGTGCAGGTAGTGCCTTAACGTGTTATGACCACCCACCATCAACCTTAGGTTGGCTCTATTCAAAGATAAGCAAAATTGTCTATCCTTAGCGCTGGGCCCTACAATGAGTTACTCTGCCTGACGAAGATGTCTGAAGATGTTTCTCTATTTCTGAGAATGTTGTCTTGCAATCCACTTCTCAATTTTCTTCCTAACTCTTTGCGCGGGCACCCGTAAACCTGGCTCTAGACCAACGAGCTTTCTGGCTGATCCTGTCTTCGCCAGAGCGTCCACCGTATCATTGCCCTTTATCACACCGTGCCCTGGTACCCACACTAACGATACAGGATGCCTGGCTGCTAGACAATCCAGAGCCTCCCTGCATTGCAATACAAGGCTCGAAGTAATCCACTCAGTTCCGTCATTGCAGCCTGGCTGTCGGAGAAGATTGTTATTCTTCTCCTAGGCCCCCTCCAAAATGCGGGATACACAAGCCAGAGCCGCAAATATTTTCGCATGGAAAGTAGTGGTGTATCCACCAAGACGCAGAGATAGCCTAGTTCTAGGCCCAGAGACTGCGGCGCCAGAGCCCTCTTCGGTGACCGAGCCGTCCGTGCACCAGACCTGTCCACTCACTCCGAAGACCTTCCAGCTACCGCGTCTCACTCCGCCCTTGTTGGATACTCCATATTAAACTTGCGGTTGAAGCGATATTTGAGGGTGATTAGATCACCCCCGCTAAGAAGGACAGGATCCACCCTTTGCAGTTCGACTAAGATGGCAGTGTGAGCATTGACAGGATTCAAGAAGGCCCATCTGCCATGATTCTACTGTCGATGTGCGACTACTCTCGCTCCACTGCGGATCACTATATCCAACGGTGGGAGATCCAGCAGATCTGGCATTGGACTCAATGGCGTTGTTCGCACTGGGATTGTAATACTGGTATAGGCCAAACGCTGAATTTTGTTGAGTTTGGCCTTGGTTGTCGGAGTTCCAATGCAAGGTCACCAAACCAAGGAGCCGTACAAGATAGATGGACGTACTATGGTCGAGTAGAGCCAGTGTACCACTTTGGGTTTAAACCCCCACATTTCACCGACAACACGTCTGCAAGCCTATATTGAATTGCAAGCCTTGATAACCTTGTGTTCTCACATGCTCTCTCCAGTTCAGTTTGCAGTTCAGTCCAGG